TGTTTCTAGCTTTCCAAAGCTCATGCAACCCAGTTGTAGGTCATGAACAATAACAGTTTGGTTTATAGACAGCACAGTTGTTGGCTTTTGGAGTGGAAGATAGGGATGGACCCATATGTCCAACTGAGAAGTGTCCAAACATCCTGTTGGTTGATGATTATACCCATAGGATCCATGTATGGAATATTTGCCAACATTTACCCCATAAATGACCCAAATGTAGGTAAATATACCATACATGGATCCTATGGGATATAGGGTTTACTATCCAATATGTCACAATCCATGGTGAGAAATCCGGTGAACTAAGAGCGATCCTCGACCACTGCCAAGGAAACAAATGTCACTCTAAGAAGCTGGTCAAACGATACAAAAAATGATAATCACTTTGTTCCAAACATATACATTTCTGGGAAAATCTCAGCACTACGCCCACGTTCACAAAACGTGAGGAGTTTTGGAACTAAAAAATAAAATCCGAAAACTACCTCAAACAACGAGATTTCAGGATTTGTGGGTTTTTGCGTTTGTTTTTTGCGGGGATTTGCGGGTTCTTTCCTTAGTCGTTCGAGGCGCTGCAAACATTTTTTGGTGTTTGTCTCACCAAGCCCAAACACATCCAATCAAAGTCCTAAAATCGAAGACCAAAGTAAGATCTAGATGTTTTCACCGATATTTTCCTATAGGACTTGGAGGGTCGAGGATAATAGGACAACGGAGTGTTTTGAACACTGCTCGGCTGAGATTTTGTTGATGGGATTTCACCAAGCAACAATAGGAGAATTGCAACCTACCGTCTTCCAAGCCCAACTCATGGCGGGCGCTATCTTAGTAGGAGGGCAAGCAATTTGGTTCAGATGGCCACCCCCAAAAAGAGGCTAAAAGTATCCGATTTTGTTTGCATTTGTTGTGTGGCTATAGACTGCAATTCTAGGCCCCAGGTTTTTCTTGTATAATGTGGTGGATACACAGTGTATCAGTATATATATATATATAACATGTTTGAACGGTGTCCATTTTAGGAGAAGAGATGCTGGTGGGCTGTATGTTGAGAAACCGCCAAGAATCTATTTTATGCATCGTTTTTTGTAAAGGTGTGCTGCATTTTTTTTTCTGAAACATTACCTGACCTATTTGTATACATATTTTATTTCCCGGGGCGAAATTTCATTGAAACACACCGCACAAACATCCAAAACCGATCATACAATTATCACCCCAAAATGACCAGATGCGAGTGGAGGATCGTGTTCTCCAGTTTCGTCATTTCATGTTAGGTTTCAATGGTATGACTAGGGTGAGAAACCAGGATCTTTTGTCTTTTGGAAGATTCTAACTTACAACATCCGATAACATTCTGGCCCATCAGGAGAAGCTTCATGAATTACAATGAATTGTATAGGTGGCTTATGATTGTGGCAGCCAAACCCCACCTGGTATTTGAACGATGGTGCTGTCAGGCCTTCAAACCCCAGCCGTTTGCCTTAAACACATGCAACCGGTGGAGGCCCTAGGCGTCCAAACGTCCAAACGGCGTGGAGGATGGATCACAATGTGTCGCCGCAATGGATTTAGTTGATAGCTGGCGGCTGGTGAACATGCTGATAAATGCCATCCTGTATGGTACTTTAGCTGCAACCTGTTGCGAAATGTTACGAAATATATTCGAGTGGTCACCCAGTACAGCCACCGATCAGCTGGAAGTAATCAAACGGCTGAGCTGGGAACCTATTTGCAATGACTTGTCCTGATACCTCTCTATCTCAAGGAATATGCCCTTGGATGTGTGGCCTTTCAACAACTATATCCTGCAACGTCAACCCATCGGCCCATCGGTGGACTGCTCCACCTGACGGCCCCGCCGCAGCAAGGCTGAAGTTTGTGGACAATCACCGGGTGACGCCTGTGCCAGAGATTGCCATCAAGGACAGGGTCCCTGGGCCGCCAAGGCCCAGGGATCCCAGGGCTCATTGGGTTTCAACGTTCTTGGGTCGCACGATCCTTATCGAATCCTTATCCATCCTTATCCTCATCCGTTTTTCGCAACACATATACAAACACAAAGAAACAACTGTCAACTGCTGGGATGATCCCTGAAGTAAGTAAAAAGTAAGTGCAGGGGTCAATTCATGCCATCTCACAGTACAGAGATTATAGGCATCATGCTGTATATATGATAGTATATATATATATACATATATTTATACAGTATATATGCACAGTATATATATACACAGTATATATATATATATATATGTGTGTGTGTGTAAAAGTTTATTAAGGAATCAAACCCCACTTCTTCAATATGGCCTGTCTTCATCTGAGTCCTCTTCACCATTCCAGCCCAAGGAGGGTCAGCTCCCCCGCGCGCGCTTTGGCGAGTTCACAGTGTTGTATGGAAAGTCGAAAGCCAAAGAGAGCCGGGTGCCCCTGAGAAAAGCGGCGGGCAATGGCCCGGTGGGCGATGCGATGGAACCTAAGACTTCCACATGTTTGGTGGAAAATCCATCTTCCGACCCCTTTTTTTGGGGTCATGTTGAGGCCTCTGAGCCTCTGGTTGGTGACCACCGAGAAATCCTGCATCTACTATGCAGTTGATAAAAGAAAATGCCAACGGCTGGTGCAGTGACATGATGCGGCTTGCCACTGAGCTTGCTGGCAGACACTGTTTCTGGGGAGCTGGGCCAATGGCTCGCCTTCAGTCTTTGGCTGAACTCTTGGAGAGGGCGATGGAGAGAGAGAGAGAGAGAGAGAGACAAAAAAACACGGGAAATGTATGGACAAGTATACCGCATCTGGAAAATTATGGAAATGCATGGAAATGCATATATATATATATTTATTTGAAATGTAGAGAAATGGATATGAAAAACAAACATATGTGGAAATGTGTTGGACATTTTCTGAAGCAAAATCTGCGCTCTTAGCCAAACTAGATTTTGCGCACAATCATCCAAATCGAGTTTTAATCAACTCCGAAAAACATCGAAACCTTTCGGATGGTTTCGGCAAATCTCAGCACTCGACACTTGGCATATCCAAAACACCAAGAAAATTGAATGCCTGCCTGTGGAATCACCAATTTCTCTGACAGTTTTTTGTGGCTTCAAAAGCCCAACCAGAGGGTAAATTTTAAATTCTCATGATTTTTCATTAAATCCCTATTAAAATCCATTAAATCCCTATGGAAATCCCGATGATGGAATCATGTCCTTTAGGCTTCGACTGCCTGCTGACAGCCTATGCGCTGGACCTTTCGCCCAATGTTTTCCGCAACTCGGACTTGATCACATCGGAGCATCGGCTTCATAACGAGGGCAGCCCTGCATTTTTCTATGCAATAATGATTATTCCTTGGTTTTTATGAGTTATGCTCAGACCTGTCATGAGACTTGCTCCACGCGTGTTTGGAATCCCAGTGGTTGCAGCTTGATATATCACAGTGACCAGCCATTTGGATCCATTTGGCTGTTCGAAGGGGAACATACCATCCCAAGAGGTCAAAGAACCAAAAGGCACTATGAAATACTATGAATCAGCATTGAACTTTCAGGGACCTAAATTGGAGGTACCAGGTACCTACCATTTTTCTTCAGGCCTTAGTCTTAGACATATCTAAGTCTGCAAGGGAATCTCGCCACAAAATATGGCCCAAAATGTGGTGCAGGACCTCCATGTCAACCCAGCGCTCGACCCAGGCTTCGTCCGAACCGCGGCGCATATCTTGCGGCCGGGTGGCGTGTCCGGGTGCCCGGGGTGCCCTGGGTGCGGAGAAAATCATGGAACGAAAAGCTGGTGCCCCATATAGCTAGGTTGGTTTAGAAGTAGACTGGTTAACTATAAAATACTATATAGTTTTTAATATAGTATATTAAGTGTCATGATTACAACATCATTTTTACATAAACATATACGAAATGGGGGCAACACTGTTTCTCATCCAGGATTGATTGTGATTTTTGTGCCCACATCAGCATATGTCAACGACATAGCGAACACACATGAACCACATTTGATTGCCATTCGCATGTTATAGACAAGGACCACAGTGTAACTTACGGACGGAGTAGCTTTGGAAGTTTTGCACACTTGTGGTGAGGGGAACCTCTGTTTTGTCATGAAATGGGGTGTGTTGTATCTGAAAATGGGGATATACCCTCAACTTTGCCTTTTTCCCAGGGGCCTGGACCAGCTCAGGTGGGCCAATTTTGGACCACTGGCATACGACACCGACCATGATGAGGCGGAGATTTTGTGCTGAACTGCTGTGGGGTGGGGTAGTTCTGATAGTCAAGAGGGGACATGATTATGATGATGATGATGAGGAGGAGGAGGAGGACGACGACGACGACGATGATGATCATGATCATGGTGATGATCATGATCATAATGATCATGATGATCATGATGATCATGCTGATGCTGATGCTGGTGCTGGTGCTGGTGCTGGTGCTGGTGGTGGTGGTGGTGGTGGTGTGGTGGTGATGAGAGGGCATTGAACTGAGACGGAAAATCACACAGGTGGACGCGTCTTGGCTCAAGCATGCTTTTGGTGGTCAGATTCCTCAAGCCCCAGACGCAGACCTCAGGCTTATTTAGATTGCTCTTGTATGCGCTTACTATATGTTATGTTTCTTCAAATGCCAACATGTTGCTGATTATGTAAGTCCCACTCTGTGGTCCTTTTTTCAGTTGATTCCTTCTAATGCTGGCCTGGCCTTCCTGGTCCCAAACAACATGCCCACTGCTGACTTTAGAAGAAAAGGGCCAGGTGCTCAACAAGTGCTCCACAAGCGGATGATTTGCAATGCTGACAAACCAAAGAGGATATCAACAATGGATGTTCCTTTGGGCTTCCAATGTTTCCGCATACGCATTCTGCTCTCTGGCCAAGGTTCATTGAACGGACCTGGTGTCATCTCATTCTTGGTCGTTGGTCAGTAGCATTTTTCAAGTTACCATCCCGATTTCCCAGTCACGGCGAGTCCTGGTGTGTCGCCATGCCGCTAGATTACTATCAAGTCCTGGGGCTGGCAAAGACTGCCAGTGCGGATGAAATTCGCCGCGCCTACAGAAGCTTGGCTAAGCTTGGGCCTGGAACTGATCAGAGAAAAGATAGGACATGATAGGACAACTGAGCCTAAAGCCGTTTTTTTCAGGTGTAAAATGATATAGTTATCTGATTTTATTTGATGTTATTCGTTGTTTGTTCGATTTCCCTCCGAGAGATTCAATCGTGATTCAATGAGTGGGTCAGCATCCCCCAAACCATCTGATCACAGCCAGCAGACAAGTTGAGGCAATGCAAGATTACCCGGTGGTAATTTAACATAACTATTGACAATGGCCATCAATGGCCCATTTATAGTTGATTTACCTATTAAAGTGGTGATTTTCCATAGTTTTTTGTATGTTTACCAGGCCGGGTAGTTTGTAACAAGCTAGAACCCACCGCAAGTGATACAGCATGGGAATCCAAGATCCACATCCAGAGATCGAAACCCCGGTGTTTCACCCCGGGGCCCCATTTGGCCGCGCCAAGAACAACAAGCACTGCGGCATCATCCGGACAAGAATCCTGAGAATGTGGAAGAAGCCACGGCAAAATTCAAACTCGCTACTGGTCCGCAGGGAGAGGACGGGTGCACATAGGTTCATAGGGTCCTGATTACTGGTTCAGCACCAGTGGATTATAATATATTATAATATTATTAATAATTTATATAATCAATTATATGGCTAATTTAGTATGGCTATTATAAATGATAATGGTGGTGATATTATATATGGCTATCATTTCTATGGCTATTATAGATATGGCTATTATAACTATCGCCATTCTTGATGGTGGTGCACTGCCTGACGTTTGCGAACGTGCCAGGTCTCGGAAGCTTACTCCGTGCTGATGCCTGGCCTGAGGGATTATCCATCAGTATCCCCCAAAATGGTCCCATTTTAGTATTGCAATCTGTGGTTTTGGATGCTTTTGGGGTACCACCATTTTTGGAAACATCCATTTATTTATACTTATAAATTTATATTTATTTTTATTTATATTTATTTGCGGCGTATGGCCCAGTGCTGGAATTATACTCCACATGAAGTGGGATGCAGCTCTGGATCTCAGGAATGATCCAGCACGACGGGCTGCATATGATGCTGGCAAGCTGGGGAGCGACTTGGCGCCAAAAATGCAAACCCTGAAAACACCGCATCTAGGCCTAACACTCGTTTGTTTTTCATGGGGTTTCTTGATTTCTTTGCCAACCCTTTTGAACACATGGAAGCTTGGAAGATCCAAGGTCACATTTAAAATCATTAATTAAAATGTATAAACATTATTATATAAACATGATATGTGCATATAATATACACATTATATTCTATATTTGCACTAGTCAGTCCTGCAAATATATCCGGAAGGCTTCACTGTCCCCCAAGCAGCAATTTTCGCCAGGTGACCGCGAAGATGAGACTGGTAGCAATTTCACTGCCAACATGGCCCATGATCTCTTTGCAGAGGTTTTTGGTGCCCTGTTAGCAACAGCATTAGGTTTTGTCCATGGCGTGACTGCATCAGGTTTCCATGAGGATCATGAATCATGACCCATGACGGATCCATGTATAGTATATATGCTAACATTATCTAACATTGGGGGTATATTGATGGGATCCATGTTACCATATATAGCATACATGGATCCTATATGGGTAATGAATCATGTAGAGCTCTTCACAGAGGCCGCCTGGACTTGCAGTTTTTGCCTCCGCCGTCGACTGCATCGACTGAGGCTCTGAATTTGCGCGAAAATTCGCCGAAGCCGCAGGCAATGCAAGAGACTTGGTTGCATTTCCAGACTTGGCGTGGTGATGTTGCTGGGTGTAGTTTAAGTTGCACTTGCCAACATGTCACATGATGTGGGGAGACTCATAATTGATTAGCCCATCCTTGTGACCCAACGGCCGAGGGGGTTCCAGGGTTCCATTCTGCTTCCGTTATGGTTTTCGAGCTTGGCCACCAAACGACGCACCACTCCTTGACCCAGATGTTGAAACCCAACAAGCCTTCCTGTTTAGCAGATTTAAATTTTGGTATGAAGCATCTCCGATTTCAAGTTGATCATTGGGTTTCATCTCCGATTTTAAGTCGATGATTGAGTTTACCATGGTTTACCCCATTGCGTGCCCAGTTTTTCCCCATAATCATATAATTGGTGTTGAATCGCCATAGGGCCAAATTGGGGGCCCAGGTTCTGCGGTGGCTGGCACCATTGATTTCGTGGCGGAGACAGAGCAACTCAGATGGCAGCGGTGTGAAACATTGGGAAGACCCCAAAACTGGTCAAAACATTGTGAGATATTGTGAGACTGGGTGTGGTTTGTGAGTTTTTTTTTCTCACTGTGTTTTGTTGACCCAACTTTGTAGATGGTGTGTCCACAAAAATGGGGGTTAAGGATGCCATCCTATGCCATCCCTGCCAGCATGAAGGGGCAGCTTTCACGGAATCATCATTAGCCCCTCCACTTGACGTCAAAGCGGCGAAGTCTCCAAACCAAACCCTTGTTTGGGTGACGATAGTGTTATATATTTTTGTGTGTGTGTGTTTGATGGTTTTGTTATACATCTTTGCACAGAATTACAACATCCAAGCAGAGCCGGCTGCGCTTAGGACCTTTAAGGCCGCCAAACGTGCGACTGCCAGCGGCTTGAACAAGGCGGCCGAGTCGGTGGGGCAAAGTCAGGTGGCAGCTCGGCGCCCAAAAAATGGGCTACCCTCTGGTAAACTAACATAGCTATTGAAAATGGCCATTTATAGTAGATTTACCCATTGAAAATTGTGATTTTCAGTAGTTATGTTAGTTTACCAGAGGGTACATACCTCCAGTTCAGAGGCAGTTTGGGATTTTCATGGGATCTGAATGGTATCTTAATGGTCATTTAAAAGGGGAACATGGCTGATTCACCATCGAATTTTGGGGTACTCATTTTCCGACAAACCCATGGATTTACCCTCCGGTACTGAAACATGGCAATTAGACATCCTCAAACATGGAGGTGTGCAATAGGAAAAATCATCTATAAATTTGGAGGATTTCCATTGAGATTACCAGAGGGTCCTGCAACCCATAAGAATGGTGAACAAATAAAAACATAGGGATTTCAACCATCAAACATGGGTATACCATGAGAACACAGTGGGCACATAACCAACGATGATCTGGCTGGTTATCATTTTGAATCGTGATCAGCATTGTTTCATATTCATTCATATTCCTAAGACATTTGAAACAGATTTGATTGTTATTGCTATCACTAGGAATATTTACGAATCGGCTCATTGTTTGTGCTGGGTATTTAAGACTATTGGCCCATAGATACAGGGTACTGGATCTAGAAATTGGGGATTTATGTAACCCTTAGAAATGGTGGTATAGAACCAAGCAAAGTGGAAGCAAATTTGCTGGGATAGAGATAGATATGGGTCGAGTCAAGTTGTCCCAAAAAAATAGTCAACATTGGTTGCTGGGGACAGTTTAGTTTTTTTTCCCCGTTGATTTATCCACCAAGGGGCTTGGTTTTTGAACTTTTCATGGCCCCCTAAAGCAATGGAGCATATTGAGACGATGGGTTGCTCTTAAACAATTATTCCTGCAAAATACGGTTTAGTTTATCATCAGTTTTTTTATCGAACTGCCGAATTAGGGCACATTCTTGGACATACCGTATACCCTAAAATGACATGGTTGTTGATCCATCCCATGATTATATAATATATATATAATTATATATATTTATATATTATCCCCCCGTATAAGCAATTCATAGGGAATTATATGCCCATCTCTGTGAGATGGCGATGAGAGAGAGAGAGAGAGAAAGATGCCCAGTATATTGGGAGTCCCACTATGGGATGGATGACCATAAGCCATATCAATATATATCATGGCACATATATCCCATATCATGAGATTCAGATAAGAAATATCCCATGATATATACTCATTATACTGTACGTAGTTGTACGAATCTGTATGCATATGCAGCATATGCATATATATATATATATTATATTATATATATATATTATATTATATTATATCATATTATATTATATTATATTATATCATATTATATATATGGGTATGGCGACGATGTATGGGGATGTAATATTTCCCGAAGAGACGTTTTTGAGATTCTCATGATATCCCCACGATTATCCCTTCCAAACTTAGGTCCGAAGCGCAGTTGCCAAGCACCTGGGATCCTTGACGGATCAAGCCAACGTGCGTGTGGCGGAGAAGGCTCCATTTTGATGGCAATTGGACTGGGGAAAAGTGACGAATTCAGATTAATATCCTCCAGATGTTGATTGGAAACATCTTAAACATGTAGGGTTTACCCAGACTTTTTGCGATTTTCATGGAGAATGATGCGACATTACTTTACACTACTATATTATATGCATATACCATGATGTATCAATCAAGGTCATATGATGGACATGTCGTTGTTTTGGGCCATGATTTACATTTGATCCGGCCAGGAGCGAAGCGAAGCGCTCTCACGACAGGCCTTGGATCTTCAAAGGAGAAGGCGTGATCTGCCGATGCCATGGGAAACCTGGGCTGATGGAAACCCTTTGGTAAACTAACAGTTTGCTAGTGAAAATTGCCATTTATAGTTGATTTACCTTACTTATTGCCTTGGCCTCTTTCTGTGTTAGGGGACATTGCTACCCAGGAACTATATATAAAATCCCAGGAACTATATATAAAATCCGAGGCACTATTTACAAATCCCAGAAGCTATTTATAAAATCCCAGGAGCTATTTACTGCATTTTATACTGATACACTGGGGTTAATTTATTTCCAAACTCCTGGACCTATTTAAAAACACACACACATAGTTCGCTTATGGGTTTTGGGCCAGTGCTTTAAGCTAACCCGACTTTTGGTGGTTTATTATTGACTATGATTCCCATACTCTAAGGTTAACACAACCAAGAGCAATGGTTAGTGGTGAATCTGAATTAAAAATTGCACGTATTGTGGGCCATTTTAGGTGATATTTAATATGAGGGATGGGACTATTTAGAGGCCAAGGTCACCAATCTCACCCAGATCCGACCTTCATGACTAAGCCAGCCATGGTATACTCACCCTTGAAGATTTCCATGTGCGCAATGCTGTGGACAGCACACATGATGTCCCTACTGCCTTGACATACCTGCTTGTGTGGAAACCACACCAAAAATTGCTTCACAATATCCAGGCCTGGATAGTTATCTATCCCTTGGGGTTAGAAAAAGGCTAGTGACCACGCTGGCTTTCGCAACTCTTTTCTCGTGTTCCCTCCGGCCTGCTGTCTGCAAAAGCCTTATGGCACATCTGGACCCGAAAAATGTACCCGGGCTTTGCAAGTTCTAAGTGGGATTGCCTCTGCAAGAACCCAAAAATCCTAGCAGAGAAAAGTAAGTGATGCCAATCGCATCAAGCTTGGGTTGGCTAAAGAACCTAAGCCTATGGCCATCATGTGTCACTGGCCTTTCCATGTCAAAATCTATGCCTTCGTTTTGGCTGCCGCTTTCTTTGCCACCTTCTTGGCAGCCGGCTTCGGTGCCGGTGTCCTTGGAAGACATGAAAGGCCTGGAATTTGATAGTTGGAAAACCGATGCGCCAGTATTCCCTGGCATATGAAATCCTATGAAGGCGTATCCTCAAACCAAAGCGCATTCGATGATCAGCGATCAGATTGTGAAATAGTGACATACGACGTAACATTACATATTCTGAATGCCTACGGGAGAGATTCCCCATTAAAGCAGACTTGCAAAAGTTTTGAAGGCGTGGCCCGACTCTAGCAGCAGCAAACCATAATAAACTGGCAAGTGGGAACGGCCTTGATTTCTAGGATTGGGATTTTGACCTTCTGTTCGTTTTGGTGAGAAGAAAACAAAAATGAATTTGGGGATCATCCAAGGCTATCGGCCTGGCCCCCCAAAATGATGGGCTACTTTTGGTGCTGAACGTGAATACGGTTAGTTTTGTGGAAATCATTGGTATCCGCCCACCCATGGTTGAAAAAGAATTTGTTTGACTCAAGTCCATAGCCGCAGCAGTAACCTAAGTATTACTACTACCACCTGAACATTCATTATACAGGAGAAGGTAGTGGAGCGAAAATTGAATTGGGTGATGGCACCTGAAAGCTGGAAATAAAGAGACGAGCTACTCTTTGGATTCCTCAGTCTTCAGAAATTCCTCCAGCTTGTTGGACAAGACGGGTGAAAGATCGGCCCGTGCCATCCCGAGCTCCTGGGCAAGTACTTTGCAAACCTTCCTCACAGCCGCGAGCTTTTGGGGATACTTCTCTGGGTGGAGAATCAGCTCGCCCACAAGCAAAGAGCTGCAAATGATGGAAATCTGATCGCGCATCGCCTCTTCAGAAAAGGTGAAAATCTGAGGATCCAGGGTAGCTTTTAAATTTGGCTGTCCACCGCATACCATTGCTGCAAGTATACTGTGAATTAGTATTCTGCCAGTTCAGGGCCCGATATTTTTTTTTACCATGACAAGATTACCAGTGTACTTGTCCCTGGGGGGTTCTTATTTACCATAGGTTTCGGGCCCTGGGGAAAAAATAGGGCCGAAAGGAGATCCGGCAAAATGCTCGGAGCCCGAGCCCGGAGAATCTCAGCTATATAAATATAAATAAACATATATATATATATATATATATACCATGTATATATAATATATCATGTAATATATATATATATTATATAAATATAATATTATATATAAATATAATATTATATATATCGTATTATATATTTACTATGTTTTAATATTAATGATTGATGATACCATTGATATCCTAATACCCATACCATGGATTCGTTGCCACGTCAGCATACCGCAATCCTCCTACATGTTGTCACATCACACCTGATCCCCCCCGCGCCCCCTTGATCAATGTTGTTACCCAATGCATGCCGGCATCCGAACCGAAATGGCTGGTTTTTTTGAAGGCCTTTCCAAGCAAAGCGATGTAACAACATTGAATTGGGCGGAAGGGGGCACGCAAGTTTCTTCGCAGTTGGCTGTTTTTTTGAAGAGCCCGGAATCATCACCACCATCAGATCATCATCATCATCACCATCATCAGCAGCATCATCAGCATCGTCATTATCGCCAATTCATGTTTGCTGCATGTATGTGGGATGGATTGTGCAAAAAGAATCGTACAGTAAGACCAGGCTCTACACACTATACTGTATCTGGAGTGTTTGTGTGTGAATGCCTTCTGTATGGATGCTGGCTGCATGTATGTGTATGACTCTGTATGATGTATGATAATGTATGATATCTCTATGCCATGCAGGTGGATGCAACGGCAGAAAAGAACTATGAAAAAGCTCTTGCTTTGGACAAACCCAGCCAGCCCTTTCGAAAAGCCTGTCCTCGACACCCTTCTTCAGGTCCATGATCTTGCCACGCAAAGGGTTGGCTTTCCAGCCGTCACACTTCTGGACGCTCTGCATGATGTGGAAGAACTCCACAATGATATGGTTCTCTTTTCGCCAATCCAGCATGCGATGCATGTCATTGTCGACGGAGGCTTCGCCAGTGAACATCCAAGCCACATCGTCCATGGCCCACGTGTCAATTGCCGGAATCAAAGGCCTGACCAGTGAAACAAACCACATCACCACGGATCCGTAAAAGTTTATTTTTTACAGGCGGTTGTATGTCAATGTCTCAGGCGGGTCAATATCTGTACCTTTACGGAAAGATGGAATAACATAAATGTCAAATAATGTCCGTATCTAAAATGTATGTCTTGCGAGTCTCAAAGCTGGGAGTCGTTTGTTTGTTGGTTGCTTGTGCCCCCAAAACCTTTGTTGAATCCGACCCATCCCCACCTATACTTATCGACAATCTTGCCCACCGTCTTCCACACGCCCGCGCACCAGCTGAAGACCTTCTCCACAGCGGCAAGCACTGACGCTTCGAAGAGTTTCACCTCCTGCACCACTTTGTCGCCCAAGAATTTGGACATGATCTCCTTGTCCAAACCCGAAAGGGCCATGAATCGCTTCACTGGCTTGACAAGCTGCGGCATCTCAGATTCGAAATCTTCCAACTTGAGCTCGACGGGCTGCAAGTTCTCCACGATGTGTGCGTTTTTGGCCAGCACCATGATCGGGTGCAGAGGCTGGGGGAGGTACTTGCAACTTTCAAACATGACCACAACCTCTTCAGGCCCCTGTGCGTCCCATGTTCCCTCAGCCCAAGACTTGGCAAATTCCACCAAGCGAGCTTCAAAGCGCTCAGCTGCCTCTTTGGCCTCCTCTAGCCAGCCTGGATTCAAAGACACCATTGCTTTGGAAGACAAATGCTTGGTCATCTCGACCGCGAAGGCACAGCAGTTCTCCACGGTGATGTCCTCCTGCTCCTCCTCAGGGATCGCAAGCCACTTGTAGATGGAAAGCAGCACAGGTGTCCTCGCTTTGGTCTCCAGCTCGCCGTTGACATTGCCAAGATGGCTGGCAATGGTACCTGTCAGAATCGCAAGCATCCCATATGTGGCACAACAAAGTAAGTGAAAACACCAACTTTAAACAGGGCTGGCTGATTTACATATGCTTCATTTACATTATTTCCTGTACAATGGGATTCACCATCTTACATTCTCATATATAGTTTTTTAGTGACTTACACTACATCGGGCCAAAGATGAAGAGAACGGATTTCGATTTTGCGCTGCACTACATGTAAATGTGTAGGTCTTCCGTATACCATATACCTAAATAGCGAGTAGAATAATATAATGGAACTTTGCAACGATTGGCTTGGCCATGTTTTCATTTATTGAAACGTGCTTTCAGCCCCCGCACTCCGACCCAGCACCTGCCACAACCGCCAATTTCAGTGACAACAGCACCTCGCTCTGCAGCTTGCTCCAAACCGAGTTCCACGCAAACAAGTTCGTCAGCATGTCCTGGAAATCCAAAGTTGCACCCCATTCGTGTTTCACCATGAAGCCTGTGATCTTCCCAGCACAATCCTCCAACTCAGCCTTCAGAGCACAGTGCCCTTCCTTGTCTGATTGGCCCAAGGCAACGAGCACTGCTGCATAGTTGGCACACTTTTCAATCACAGGAAGAGCCGTCTCAATGGTGAAGCCATCCGGCTTGTCCTTGACATCGTCCAAGAATGACTGCAAACGAGCCAGCGAGTCCTTGAGCTTGGCACCTGCCGACAAAGCGCTCTCAGCATCCAACTGCTGCTTGCCAACATCCACGACCT